GGTGGAGAAGGTAGCTGTGCTGACTGCTCACCTAGTTAGCTCATTCTTTTGTTAGAAATCCAGAGGCTGTTGGAAGGGTCAGGAGATGAAGATGCCTGTCTGGAATGGGGTTCACAGGTCTGGTGGTGATGACCCAGGGAACCAAAAGTCAACCCAGCACCTCCAAAGCAGGTATCCTGCAAATCCAAGGGCTATGTAGTCCAGGAGCACTTAAAGTTTGAGGACTCATGCCTGCATCAGTAGGGAAGGGAGTACTGAAGATATTTTTCTATGAGGATGCTAAAGCACTTTACATGAGGATGTTAAAGCACATCATGAAACTATCCTGCAAACTGCTGGCAGCAGTATGTAGGCTGTGCTTCCAACTAACAGCAAAGCACTTATTCTCAATCAAAACAAGGAAGCTATACTGTGGGTGTATAGAGCTTGAGACAAAACTCTCAGAACACACATATTTTGACTTTTGTTCAGAATACTAAGGAAACAGCTGCTTTGAGGTAAGAATGTTTCAGGCTCAGAATATTTTGCATTCTTACCAGCTCCTCAGGTATGTGTATGATATGTAAGGACTAGTCCCTTTCCATTATTCCATATCCATCTGAAGTTACAACTGTTAGACAAGATAGTGAACTACCCTAGAGGGATACCAAGACAATGAAAGAGCAGAACAGTGAAAAAAAATGTAAATAAGTGCATACTATCCGCCTTCATATCAGAACTTCAGATACTCTTAGCATAATTTGTAGCTACTTTGGCTCCTTTGCAAGGAATGGGAAGAAACATTCATAAATACGACTTATTTGTAATGAATTAATTATATCCACGCATCAGCTAGAACTGGTTTCCAAAGCAACTTGCAGTTAAAATATATAAACAGATGCATATCTCCATCCTAACATATGGTTGTGTCTGGAAAAGCCTTTTAATGCTAGGAGTAGGTGAACTCATCTTGATTCTAGGGCCTTCAAATAGAATGGACAGGAGGATCTGCAGATGAATTCAAGGGCCTCCTCAGATCATTTCATTATTTCAAGTTATTATGTTAGCATTAGAGCCTAGCTTTCTAGTTGAAAGTATTTCAAAAGTATTTCGAAAAAATGCAAATTGGAAGAATAAAATACAGTGGTCTGTGAATTTTAGATTTTGAGATGGCAGATTGACAGGTCTTGATCTGTCTGTAGGATTGACATTTGAATCCTCTGTTTCTCAGTTCAGTATCATACTTTGCCATAAACGCTGGGGCTCTGGAGGTGTGGGCGGGGGCTAGGCAGGTGAGGGGGATTGCAATGGAGTGGCAGACAGCTGTAGGCCCCCCTCCTCTGTGGAGGCCTTTCTGCTTCCCTCTGGTAGCCTCAAGAAGAAGAGGAAAACACCACTACTCCCATTTAATGGTGAAGTGCCTGGGAGCTGGACTGTGGGCTTCCCATTGGATATTGAATATTATTCCCCCTCTTTGCCTTTCTCTGGGTGAGAGCCAGAGGTGGGCTTGGTGGGAGGGTGAATGGTTGGAGCCTCTGCCAGCTGGTGGGAGCAGTAGGCTA